CGAGTGCGCTCGAGTGCTAGCGCCGAAGACGTGGGCGTCGAAGTCTCCCTTCTCCCTCGGACCTGTCCTCCGACTGTTCAGGCGAATGTTCCTCATCCTCCTCCTGAATATCCTCGCATCCTCTTGGGCTCCTCAGGATGCGACTCTCGTCCCCCCCCTGCCGATGGAACACCAATTAGTCTCCCAGGTCGCGTTCTGGCCAGAATTTCGACGCGAATCCAGCCGTGGCGACGAAGGCTCTCCAGCAGAACGAGCAGCGGTATCGATCGTTACAGGGGCCACTGGGAGTCCCATCGGCAGGGCGCGAGGACCTCAGGGCCTCGGGCGGCGCCGCCCGAGGCCCCGGGGTCCTCGCCGCCGCCGCCGCCGTCGCCGCCGCCGTCGTCGCGGTCGTCATCGTCACGAGTCGTCGCCGTCGCCACCGTCGTCGTCATCGTCGTCGCGCGCGTGCGTCGTCGCCGCCCATCTCCTCCTCACCCTCCTTCATCCTCGCCATCCCCCCCCTCGCCCTCCCCCCCGGCGGGCGCGCGGCGCGCGCGAGGCGCCTCGCCGAAGCTCTCGGCGCGCCTCCTGGCAGGCGGGCCGGAGGGGGGGGGGCGGCGACGACGACGACGAAGACCGTGGGAGGGGCGGGAGGGGAGGGGAGCGGACGACCAGGCAGCACGAGCGACTGCAAGGAGGGAGATGACGATGAGGACGACGACGACGAGGATGAGCAGGAGGACGAGGAGGATGAGGAGGGTAGCGACGTCACCCAAGCGGCACGTCATTGCTGCGAAACGTCACAGCCAGCGGCACGCAACTCGCCCTGGCCCCCGAAGCGGCGCGGGCTGCCAGCAGGCACGGTCACACTCCAAGACCCTGCAGTGTGCCATTGTGCTGCTGGCAGCGGCGCCATTATCAAATGGAAGCGCCCGCGGCCTCGCTGATCGGCCACGGGGCGCCTCGGACTGCAGACGAGCGTCGTTTCCTCCTCCTCCTCCTCCTTCTCCTCCTTCTCCCCCTCCTCCTCCCGGCGGCGCGCGCTCGGCCAGGCCCTCAGCGAGAACGCTCACTACCGCCGCTAGCCAGACTCGTCCACCACCGCTCAACACCATCACACCTCCTCTTCGACGTCGGAGACGGAGTCCGCACCATCGTCACCCTCAGCGGCGTCATCCTCAGCCTTCTCCTTCTTGCGCCTTTTGGCAGCGGGGCCGCCAGCCAGCGCGCGGATGCGATCCACCAGTGCCGAGCGGTCCATGGGGTCCTTGCTGCCACCGCCGCTGGCGCCGCTGCCACCGCCGTCCTTGCTACCGCCGCTGCTGCCGGTCTTGTTCTTCGCGCCCTTCTTCTTGTCGGCCGTGTCCGTGCCGCTCTCCTCGGTCTTAGCCTTCTGGCTGTCGACGACGACGGCCGCCAGCTCCGAGGAGTAGAGCTGCTTGCAGCCCTCGTTCAACGATTCCTTCATGGTCTCCTTGAAGACATGGTCGTACAAGGCTTCGACGTTCTCCTGGTTGAAGCAGATGGCCACGTATGGGATCTTATTTTTTATGCAGCACATCGCCCTGGCGCCATCCCCGGGAGTGAGGTCGACCACCGCGCGAAGGTTGAAGTTGTGGATCCATTCATCCTGCAGGGTGGGCGGCGGTGCCCACCAGAACACCTGCTCTTCGCTCTCCGGCGTGATGGCCTTGGCCTCTTCCTTCTCCGCCTTGCGCTCCTCCTCCTCGTCGTGACCGGGTCCGCGGCCACCGTTCGCAATGGTGTCCTTCTTCGTGATGATGGTCGCCTTGTGCTTGCGCTTCATCGTCCAATGGCTCGGGTCGCTCCAGGACCTCCAGGCGCAACTGATGTGCTCCCCGACAGTGGTGCCGCTCAACGCGAGCCTGGCCCTGTCCTCGATCTCGATCGCCTTGCCGGTGACGATGTACATCTTCTCGACCTGGAGCGCGCCAGCCGTGGTTCTGCGCTTGATCTTGAGGCGGTTCACCACGCTTTCCTCCGAGTAGATGACCGTCACTGTGTGCTTGGACTTGAGGTAGGGCTTGTTGCTCTCGTCGACGAACTTGTTCACGAGCGTCGTCTCCTGCCCAGTCTTCCCCCCGTCGCACACGAAGAACGCGAGCTCCGCGGGCAAGTGCTTCGGAGCATTATCCTGGTGCGGCTATCCCCCCGCACCTGCCCTTGGCCCCCCCAGGCGAACGCCTTGCCCCAAGGCGGGCAGGGCGAGCGCCCGGCCAGGGCCCAGGGCAACGCGCTGACGATAGCACTCCTGCTCCTCAGGATCCGCAGCAACCGGGGCCGCCTTGATGGCCGCGCAGATGTGCTTCTCCATGTGCGCGTTCCTCAAGTAGGGCGGCCTCACGTTCGGCCGCGCGTCGCCTTGGCCGGCGACCTTCTGGTCGTAGAACACACCGATGTACTTCTTCGTCTTCGACACCTGCGGTTTAAAGCCCTCGTGATAGGCGCTGCTCTCCCTGATGAGCGTCGCCAGCTCGGTCTCGGAGGCAGGCTCGGGAAACCTGAGTCTCCGCCGCCAAACCCACCAGCCCTCTGGGCTTCCACAGCCCCTCCTTCCCTTCTGCCAAGATCGCCCAAGATGGCTCCAAAAGGGTCTCTGAGACCCCAAAGGGCCCCGAGATGGCCCCAAAAGAGCCCGAAGCGGCCCCCAAGAGGGCCCCAAGAGGACCCCAAAATAGCTCCAAGATGGCTCCAAGAGACTTCCGACAACTTCTCACAACAACACCTCAACTCGCCTGGGCATCGTTGTTGGATGGGCTGTCGGGCTTGGGGATGCGCGAAGCGTCCAGAGAAGAAAAAAAAAAAGCGAGGAAGGAGGCGTCGGGCGAGGGGGCGGGGGGAGGGGGGCATCGCTGGAGGGAAAGGGGAGGCGAGTAGGAGGGATGAGGCGGAGGATTAGACATCGGCCGATCGCCTCGCACCCCGATCGCGGCGGGCAAACCGCGTCGAGCTGCAACCGCCGATCTCAAGGTAAACCTGGCGCCCCCTCGCACGGCGGCGACTGAGGCGCGCGCAACTGCACCTGGGTGCGGACCCGCTGGAACACGTCTTTCTTCAGGCGCTTGAGTTTCGAGATGGTGGCCTCGTCGACAGTCGCGATGTGGATCTCCTCGTTGGTGCTGCTCACGAGCGGGATGTGCTCCGCTTCCACGCAGTGGACGATGGGCTCGTCCTCGACCACGACCGTCGTCACTTCTGCGGCCTCGGGAACCGCCCCGATCTCGTTCCGGTAGCTCTCGTCCGCCGAAGCCAAGACGTCGCTGAACGGGGGGTGCGCGAGCATCTCTTGGGGGCTCCTCCTGAAGACAAGGTTCTTCTTGAGGTAGCCATCGTACTCCGAGGCGAACACGATATCCTGAGCGATGGAACCCCGAACCCCGACGCCGCCCAAGGCTCCTGGACATCACCTCCCCTCCCCTCCCTGGCCGCCCGAGGGGCCCGCCCGACCCGACCGCCCGAGTCGTCGTCGGGTTCCGCCCGGCCGATGCCCTCGGACCTTGATGCCGCCCCTAAGTCCTCCAGCAGCCTGAAGACCTTCTCCGCGGACTCCTGACTGCAGGATGAGGATGAGGGAGACGAGGAGGATGAGGAGGATAAGAGTGAAAAGGATAAGGAGGAGGGGAGGTCCTTCCACCCGGCGCGACAGGTAAGGTCCGCGGGGGCAATCTTGCCAGGCATGCCGAACGTCCTACGGTAGCTTGCGATGTCGACGGTCAGGCTTTGCATCTGGCTGAGCACCTCAGGCGCGTAGCCCTTTGCGTTGACGAAGTCGTTCAGCAGGACGTCGCGCAAGGACCGCTTCAGCATGGCCAATTCCACCAAGCCTTTACCCTGCATGCCTGGCGCCTGCCCCTTCAGCTGGCGCTCCCCAATGGTCTCGCCGACCGACCCCATCTGCCACATGTCGTACAAGCAAGTGATCGCCCATTTCAGGTCGGCACTGTCCTTCAACCTCATGCCGATGATGTCGAGCTTCTGAATGCTGTCGAACGGGTTCCTCACGCCGTGCTTGTCCTCGCAAGTCACGAGGAAAATGCGAATGAAGGGGACGGAGAACAACACCTTGTGCACCCGAATGGCCGACAGCACGAAATTCCTGCTAACCGGCTCGGACACGTTGGACATCCTCACCTTCTGCGAGTACAGCTCCGCCACCTGATCGACGGTGAGCGCTTGGCCGCTGGCCTTGTCCCTCGATTGCTTGAACAACACCACTTCGTACATCCTCTGGAGGCTCGAGCGCCGCATGGCTTCGAAATCGTGCGATATCTGCTCACGCTCGTTGACGGCCAGCCAGTGCATGTCCTCCGCCGTCGCCGCTGGTATGAACCTAAGTCCTCCTCCTCCTTCTCGTCCCCCTTCTCCTCCTCGTCCTCCTCCTCCTCCTCCTCCTCCTCCTCCTCGCGGTCCCCCCAGCCCCCTCCTCCTCCTTCTTGTGCTGCCTCCCCCCCTCCTCCTCCTCCTCCTCCTCCTCCTTCTCCTCCTCCTCTTCCTCCTCCTCCTCCTCATCCTCATCCTCATCTTCCCCTCCCGCTCGTTCCCTCCACTGAGCGGTGAACTGCACCGTCGTGGAACGAATCACGCGAGCCCATTCCAACAGGACTGTATTTTCGACGGAGGCCGCGATGTCCCTGGCGACTGCCAAGATGAGGGCCATGCGAATCTCTTCCGGGGTGATGCACTTGAGCTGGCCGCTGCGGCCGAGCTCCAAGACCTTTTTCGTTTTTGCCGCTCACGACAACCTTCAGGATGCGGGGCGTGAACCTAGGCGCGTCGAAGTACGTATTCATCAAGTGATCGATGCGGTTCTTCATGAGGGGGATGCCCGGCGTCGCGCTGTAATGCAAATCGAGGTGGAGGAAGTTCATGCCCGCTGTGTAGCTGCCTGCGTTCTCCATCGCCGCCTTGAACCCGCCATCGGAGAAAGGGGCGATCTGGCCGACCGCGTGCGCACTGTCGCCCTCGCCGTCGTGAATCGCCATGGCCGTCATCTCCATGATCCCCTGGAAGACCTCGTGTCCCAGCACCGCCTGCTTGGCCTTCATCGCGGCCTCGTGGATTGTCGCGTTGCACGCGGACTCCTCCGGCGACAGCTGGAGCGTGCCACCTTCGGAGGCGACGAGCTGCGCTTGGTTGGCCTCCACGGCGGCGCGGCGGCCCTCGCTCCCCTCCTGGCCGCCGCGGCCGCGGCCACTCGCCGCGGCAGCGGCCTTCCGCCCGCACTTCCCAGCGGCGATCGCCATCAGCCGGAACAGCCGCTACGCCCTCGCCACTCCTCGCCCCCTGAAAGCCGAAACAGCTACAGGAGGAAAACAAATGGGGGGCGAGTGGAGGACGAGGGGGAGGACGAGGGGAAGGAGGAGGAGAGGGCGGATCGAGGGGGGGGAGGAGGAGGAGGGGGAGGAGGATAAGGATGATGAGGAGGGAGGGGAAGGAGGAGCAGCGCACGGGGCAAGGGTGAAAGGATTGGGATGACGAGTGTTGGACGTGGAAGGATCGGGGATGAGGAGGCCTCCCGCCGCCGACGCCGCCGCAGGCGGTCGACGTGGCGGTCATGGTCGTCGCGGCCGTGGCAGGAGGAAGGGGGTGGGGGGGCAGGAGGAAGAAAGAGGCCTTCTTTCTTCCTCCTGCCCCCCCCCCCCCCTAAAAACATGATCGACCCACGAACCCGGAAAGGAATGTAGAACTGTAACACATGGCAGCGTTTTCAAAGACACCTGATTGGGTGACGGGCAAATGCAATACTGAACCCAGAGGGTCGCCGACCTTAAATTTTAAGCCCCGGCCTTAAAAATGTTTTGGGGGCTTAAATTTTCCGGCCCCGCCCCTGACAAATTTTCGTTTTGCGTCCCTGTGCCCCGGAACACGCAACAGCTTTCGGCAGTCGGCGAACGTGTTTTACACCCCTGGGAACCGCGGGCGTAAAATGCTGTTGTGTTATATAGGTACCCACCCTTGATCACCCGATATATATATATATATATATATATATATATATATATATGTATATATAAATATGTGTATATACTAGGTAGATGGTTTCGGATGTGTAAGCAGATCGTATAGTTGTGTATACATGCAAGGATATATACATAAATTGGAACAGTATAACACATGTGTGAATACATGCATACATGCGCACATACATATATATATATACATATATATACACACATATAGGGAGGAGGGGGACCCGAGGAGGGGGGAGGGGAGAAGGAGGAGGAGGAGAAGGAGGAGGACGAGAGGGAGGAGAGGGAGGAGGGGAGAGAGAGGAGGGGAGAGAGAGAGGAGGGGAGAGAGAGAGAGAGGAGGGGAGAGAGAGAGAGAGGAGGGGAGAGGGGGCGCTTCGCCGCCGCCTATAGGCCCAGGCCGGCCCCATGCCAAAGGCAAAAGCCTGCGGCGATGCGCGCGCCATCGCGCGCGCGATCGGCCTGTGGGCGGTCGACACGCCGATCGTGAAGGCGGGCAGGGAGGAAAGGGAATGAGGAGGATGAGGTGGGGGGGGCGGAGGAGATCGATCGAAGGAGGGAGGATCAAGGGACTGCTGGAACAACACGGGGGAAGGATTGAGATGGAAGGAGAAATGAGGGAAGGGAGGAAGGAGCGCGGAGCTGCCGCCCCCTCTCCCTCTTCCCCCTCCTCCTGCCTTCTCCTCCCTCCACCTGCCTCCTCATCCTCCCTCCTCCTCCTCCTCCTCCTCCTCCTCCTCCTCCTCCCTCCCCTCTTCCTGTCCCCCCTTGCCTCTCGTCTCTCGTTCCTCCTTCTCCTCCTCTTCCTCCTCCTCCTCCTCCTCCTCCTCCTCTTCCTCCTCCTCATCATCATCCTACTCCTTTTTCTCCTCCCCCTCCCTCCCTCGACCCCCTCATCCCTTCTCATCCTTCTCCTCCTCCCCTGCCTGCCCGATCCCAGGCCTTCACGGACAAGAACGTGGAGGCCCGCATCAACGAGCTGCGCCTCCTCCTTGAGAGTCTCCTAAGACTGCCACCGTAATGGCCCGTCCTCGCCTTTATCTTTCTTTTACCTCGTCTTCCGCCCCCCCCCCCCGCACCTCATTTCGCAGCTGTTGGTGGGGGAGTCTCTTATGCCGTGACCCTGTTTCCTCCCGATCCCTGGTTCTTGAACAACCCCCAACGAGTGCAAACTCTTCCTCTCCTAACCCCTCCCTCGGGTCTGGGTCCCACCTGATCTTGCTTCGACGCGAGCCCGATACCTCCAGGCCACCCTCCTCCCTGATGATCCTTCTCAGTCCTACCCCCCTCCCTCCTCCTACCTCCTCCTCACCTCCTCCTCCTCCTCCTCCTCCTCCTCTCTCCTCCTCCTCCTCCTTCCTCCTCCTCACTCCTCCTCCTCCTCCTCCTCCTCCCTCCTCCTCCTCCTCCTCCTCCTCCTGCCTCCTCCTCCTCCTCCTCACCCCTCCTCCTCCTCCTCCTCCTGCCTCCTCCTCCTCCTCCTTCTTCTTTCTCTCCTTCCTCGCTGCTTCCACTCCTCCTCCCACTTGTTAACGCGCTCCTCTATCTTCAAGTAATTGCTCCTTGTCGTCGGCGCTCTCTGAGGGTCGCCTCCCGAAGTACGCGCCGCAATGGCAGGCGATGTGGAGGTCAGGTTGTCGGGATTTTGTGTAACTAATCCTGGTACGGCTGTTATTCGTCGTGCGTTATGTGAGGAGGGCGAAGGGATGGAGTGTGCTGTAGGCGCAGTGACATTGTGAGGATGAGGGCGGCGGTTTGAATGCTGCTGCGGAGGGAGGCGGGAGCGATGAGGAGGAGGCGGAGTAGCATGAGGCGGGCATGTAGTAGGCCTCTGGCGGAGCTGCGCTCGGATTCGCAGGCGGCAGAGGAGGACGTCTGCGTAGTAAGACTTAGTCGGAGGCGGAGGATGCGTCTAGTCTCGTGGTAAGGATGAGTCGTCTGGACGCAGGACTCCGTAAGGCTGGTGGAGGAGAGAGGGGGTGGAGGACGGAGTCAAATCGGGTGTAGAGTCAACCCGCATAGTAAGGATGAACGCCTTTCCATGGTTACCCTTGCATCCTTCCGGCCCATCCTTGGCCGCGTTCGCTGGCCGCGCCCCGCTTGCAAAGTGTCAGCATGGCTAAGTGTACCTCGTCCGTCCCCTCACCGCCCGCCCTCCTCCGGCTCCTGCTTGCCCCCGCCCGCCCCCGCGAGATCGTGAACCACAAGAGGGACCTTCGCGAGTTCAAGGAGCTGGTCGCCAGGAGGCTCATCAGACTGTGCCAGGACGGCCGCCGCGGACGGAGGAGGCGAGGGAATGGAGGAGGAGGGGGAGGGGAGGAATGAGAGGGAGAGGGGGATGGGAAGAGGCGGGGGGAGGGCGGCGGAGGGAGGAAGGACTGGCTGGGAGAGGGGAAGGAGGGAGGAAATCTTGGCAAATCCGAGTCAATCCAGAGACCAGGGAAATCTGGAGCAAATCGTGGCCGATCCAGGGCGAGTCAAGCGACGGTGTAAGTCGTTAAGCTCTTAACCTGCATGGTCGGAGGACGAGATCGTTTCCTCCTCCTCCTCCTCCTCCTCCTCCTCCTCCTCCTCCTCCTCCTCCTACTCCTCATTCTGCTCCTCCTACTCCTCTTCCTCCTCCTCCTCCTCCTCCTCCTCCTCCTCCTTCGTGCCCCGCCCCTCAGCAGGTCACCACGATTAGCTGGTAAAGGTAAAAGTCCCCCCCTTTCGTTTCGAAGGAGGTGCCCCCTTCTTCTCCCGCCCGTGCCCTGGAGGAGCTGAGCAAAAAGACGAGGAAGGAGCTCTCGAGGAAGAGATCACAGGACTCGCAAGGACGCGAGAGCCAACACGACGGTGAGGAGATAGAGGAGATACCAGAAGAGGATGCTGACGGCGAAGGCGAGGAGGAGGAGGAAGGCGAAGAAGACGAGGAAGAAGAGGCGGAGCAGGACGCCACAAAGCAAGACGAGAAAGCTGACGAGGAGGAGGAGGAGGAGGAGGAGGAGGAGGAGGAGGACGACAAGCCCAGGGAGAAGAAGCCAGCTGCTACAGACACGGCGGAGATCATGATGAAGAAGCCAGCTGCGGCGAACACGGCGGAGATCATGATGAAGAAGCCAGCTGCTGGAGTGAAGGAGCTCAGTCTTTCTCATTGCGTCGCTCCGTCTCTCTCTATCCCTCTCTCCCTCTCGCACTCACTCGTCCCTATTTGCAAAATTAAATATCCTCTCTCCTACCCTCTCTCGATATCTCTCTCTCTCTCTCTCTCTCTCTCTCTCTCTCTCTCTCTCTCTCTCTCTCTCTCTCTCTCTCTCTCTCTCCATCCCCTTGCCGTCATCGCCCCCGCGGCTGCCCCAAAGTAGGCCCCCTGGCCCGCTGGGTAATTATACGCGCGCTCCTCTCACTGGAGCCCCCCACCTCTCTTCCTCAATCCCTCACTGGATCTTCCATCCTCGGGCCCCCGATGAGCCCGCAACTCAATCCTTCGTCGTCATGGTCGCCCTCCCACCCCCGTCCGCGAGAGGAGCTGCCGTATGAGTTCGGCTACGACGAGGACGTGGGCCAGCCGTGGAGGAGGAGGGCCGACGGCGAGAAGGAGTACGCGAAGCTGATCCACGGCCAGGCCGCGTCCGACCCAGCCATCGCGGTGTGGCCCGTCGACGGCATGACGCGGCCCGTCCATCAGGTGCTCACCGAGGACCTTCCAGTGGCCAAGCAGCCGCCGACCTCCCTGGGCGCAGACGCCAAGCAGCCGCCGACCTCCCTGGGCGCAGACGTCCAGAAGATCTTGCGGTCTGGACTGGTGGTCGTCTCTCCCACTCCCTGTCCTATTCCTCTTCCTCATTCTTCTCATCCCCTGAGCAACCTCCTCGCCACCCCCTCCTGCTGCTGTTGCGGGTCCTCCTCTTCCCCTGGTTGATCTCTTTCGTCCCGTCGATCTTCCTCCCGCTCCTCCTCCTCATCCTCCTCCTTCTCCTTCATCTCCCCATCCCCGTTTCAATGCTGATCATCCCTCTACTCCTCCCAGGGCCGTGGGTAGATGTCAACGAAGCTGAAGGGTGTAAACAGCGGATCGCAAACTGAAGCCGATATACCACAATGAGTTGCGTTTGGGGCGGTTTCAGCTGAAAGTCGTACACTGACATGCGGACAGTGGCCTCGCGTATGTGAACGTGCATGTGAAACATTTTAAGGCATGCCGATCAACTAGGGTGGTGAGTTGCATGCCAGGTTGCGTGCCTCTCTCCCGACCTCCGACAGTAACCCTTGCTAACCCAGAGCGGATAGCCACCCCACCCCCCTACTGCTGCTCCTCCTCGTCCTCCCTGCTCCACCTGAGGAGTTGGTGGCTTGCTCTGGAAGGACGAGGGCACTGGCGTGAAGATCGTCAAGTCGATGGATCGGGGCAACCCCCTCATGAGGATCAGAGACGAACGCGAGGAGAAGCCGCAGGTACTAGGGTTCCAGCTGGAAAGGGAAAGGGGGGCTGAGATGCGGATGGGGGAGAGGAGAGGGGGGGAGTGGAAACGACGGGGGTGGAAACGGAAGGGTCGACTACAACATGCAATGCGAGGGCTGACGAGAGCGGCGATGTTGCTGAAGACGAGGAGGAGGAGGTTGAGGAGAAGGAGGAGAAGAACGAGGGGGAGGCGAAGGAGGAGGAGGAGGAGGAGGTGGACGGTGAGAAGGAGGAGGAGGAGGAGGAGGAGGAGGAGGAGGAGGAGGAGGAGGAGGAGGAGGGGGGGAGGAGGGATAGGATACCAGGGGAGCGCGAGACGTGTGGCATGGACCCCAGGTGGTGCAGCTGATGATCCACTTGTTCGACACTCCCGAGATGCGCCTCCACTACGCGCGCAGCCTCGCGGACAAATATGTTGGAGGCCATCGGGGGCTCGGGGGGGGGCTGGGGGCGGGGATGTTGAGGGCGAGGGGATGTCAACTCTAGCTGGGGGGTGGAGGTGAGGGGGAAGGGTAAAGGAAGGGACGCAGGGTGGTGCAGGGCGTGAAGGCTGGAGGAAAGGTAGATGGGCTGCCCTCCCCCCGCGGCCGAAGGCGCCAGCAGGAACCAGATTGAGGCCATGAAGGAAGACATCCTCAAGGACCGCAAGACGGTGTCGAGGACAGAGATGCTGCTGCTGCTGCTCCCTCCTTCGTCGATCTCCTTCGGTAGCAACTCACGGGAGCCTTGTAGACCCTCGGTTAGCGTCTGGGAGTCGTGAGATGGCGCCGATTTAGCGTCGAATAGCGTCGATGTAGCGTCGATTAGCGTAGATGTAGCGTCGACTGGCGTCGATTCGCCAGAGCCAACAAGATGGCATGGGAAGATCCCGTGAGTTGCCGCAGACATCTTAGATCCTTCACGTCTCCCCCTCCTCCTCATCCACCTCCTCCTCCTCCTGCTCCTCCTCCTCCTCCTCCTCCTCCTCCTCCTCTGGCTTCGCGTCCCCGCCCTCCCGACTCCTCCCCTCGTCCTCGGTCTCCCCATCCAACCTGTCCTCGTTATCATCTCCTGTCCGTCCGTCCTCCTCCTCCTCCTCGCCCTCGGCCTCGTCCTCATCCCCCACTCCGCGTAGGAAGAAGCCTGCTGCAGCTATCATAAAGAGGCCTGCAGCAGCCGACGAGTGCCCGTCCACTCCCAAGGTCAGGGCGCCCCCAGTGCCGACGTCACCAGAGCCAGCGGCGCCATCCTCACCAGCGCCGAGATCATCAAGGAAACGGCCAGCTGCAGTGCGCGATCCAGAGACGGCTCCGGAACCCACCGAGAACATCAAGCAGAGGAGGAGCCCCGCCTCCGGAGCCCAGGACAACTGGGTTGAATGAATCCTCTTTCGCCAGCTCCCCCCCTCCCCCCCTCCTCCCAGACCCTTCCTGCCAGACCCCTCCTCCCACAACCCCCCTTCTCCCTCCTCCCTCCTCCTCCTCCTCCTCCTCCTCCTCCTCCTCCTCCTCCTCGTGCTCGCTAGCTTCTGCCCTTTTACGCTTTTCCTTGTCCCTCCTCCTCCTCCTCATCATCATCATCCTCTTGTGGGCTCATTCTCCGTTCCCTGATCCCTCACTCGAGCGTGAAAGTCAACCCGCATAGTAAGTATGGGCAACCTTCCCAGGGGTACCCTTGCCCCTTCGACACATCCTTAGCGACTTTCGCTGGCCAACCTCGTTCGGAAATAATAAACATGGGCCTCCAAGGCCCTTGCATCCTTACTATATGATACGGGTTGAATGTACTGCCCCACCCCTCAGTCCCCAGCTCGATGGGTGCATCGGAAATAAGGACTGGACGCCGCTGAGTTTGGCCCGGAGCAGCCCCGACGTATTCGCTCGAGGTGATGAGGAGTGGCGCAGCTAGGCATGGGGCGAGGCGCGAGGATCCTCGCCCACTCGGTGCGAGAAAAATGCATCGTTGGCCGCTCTCCTGTGGTCACGCCCGCCCCGCCCGCATCTCCCCGCCGTTCCCTCCTCGGACCGTTCCCTGCAGGGCAGACGGCACGCGTGATTCGAGAATCACCTGAAGCCGCGAGTAACCCCGCGTTCGTCTGAGAAGGATGTATGTCGGGAGGGGAAGGCGAGGAGGGTAACAAGGAGGGGGATGGCGAGGAGCGTGGCAAGCATCGAAGGATGACATTATAAGGAGGAGGGGGAGGAGGAGGAGGAGGAGGAGGAGCAGGAGCAGGAGCAGGGAGGATGAGGAGGAGGAAGGAGCAAGGAGCAGGGCCAGGGCCCGACCGGCTGCCGACCGCTACACAACAGTCAAGACGCCGAAAGAAGGACTGGTCTCGGGAGATGCTTGAGTTGTCGGGACGTCCCTTGATCTAGGTCGGGGGATCTATTCGTGGCCGAGGCTCGCCGTGGTCAGGAAAGCCCAATTCGTTCCTTATTTGGAAATGCGTTTGCAATATCGTGTTATCTGAAATGCGTGGCTCAGAGTTTCTTTCAGGTGCACGGTTCCTGCACAGATGGCGCCCCCCCGCAGCGTGTTCGTCACGGACTCGGGCGCCCCCCCACCATGGGTCCGCCTCGTCGACCAGCCGACCGCCGCGCCAGCAGCTGGCCAAGCACCGACAGCAGCGGGCCCAGTCGACGCGGCCCAGCAGGACCAGCTGGCCGCCGAGCAGGCCACACAGGTCGAGGTGATCGACGATGACGCGGAGGGCCAGCAGTGGGCCGAACAGGCCAATCACGACCAGCTGGCCGCCACGCAGGCCCAGCAGGCCCAGCAGCAGGCCCAGCAGGCCCAGCACAAGCAGCAGCAGCAGCAGCAGCAGCAGCCCCAGCACCAGCAGCAAGCCCAGCAGGCCCAGCACCATCAGCAGGCCCAGCAGGCCCAGCATCAGCACCAGCAGCAGGCCCAGCAGGCCCAGCACCAGCAGCAGATGCAGCCGACAACACCAGGTCACAATGCAATCATCGGAGCCCTCGTCCCCCTTCGTCGCCCGTCTCTCCCCCTCCTCCACGGGGAAGGAGGGGGCACGGGCTTTGTAAGTGGTTTGCATGGGGGAGGGTGCCCGCGGAGGTTACGTTGTGCCTATCTGGGAGCAGTCGTACAGTCAGCATCACGATGAGGAGGTGCAGAAGCTGAAGGCGCAGTCGAGCGAGGAGACGCGCAAGAGACTGGCCTCGATGCCGCCCCCGCCAATCCCTAGCAAGTGCCTCCTGCCGCCCCTGCAGTCGCCGCCGCCGCTCGCGCCGACGTCAGAGCCCTCGCAGGATTGTGGGTCAACTATGCCCGCGTCTCCTCATCCTCCGCATCCATGTGCTGATCCTCCTCGTTGTCCTCCTCCTCCTCCTCCGCCTCCTCCTCCTCCTCCTCCTCCTCCTCCTCCCCCTCCTCTTCCTCATCCTCCTCCCCCTCCTCCTCCTCCTCCTCCTCCTCCTCCTCCTCGTCCTCTTCCTCCTCCTCCTCCTCCTCCTCCTGTCTGGCTCAGTTGATCCGAGCTCCTCCTGCTCCTCCTCCACCTCGAGGCCATTGCCTCCTGAGTTGGGCTCGACGGTTTCGGCTCCCAAAAGTCATGCTTCCTCTCATAACTCCTCTCCCTCGTCCCCCCGCCGTGCATCCAACCTTCCGATTCCCAGGACGAGAAGATTCGTTTGTTGACACAGCAGCTGTTCGAGCTGCGGGCGGCCGCAGGATTGTCGTGTGCCGCGCGCGCTCCAGCTGGCGAGGAGGCTCCGCCGTGCGATGCGCCCGTGGCGGCGCCTGTGCAGCTCCCGCCCCAGGTCCCAATCTTCCCGCCAGGCACGTGGAACACGAATAGTCCACGTGCTGCAGCGGTGGAGGCCGCTGCGACTGCTGCTGCTGCTGCTGGAGGTCCGCTGCAGATCCAGTCGGCTACTACGGGCGCGGCCGTGGAGGCGGCGGGCGCGGGCGCGGACGTTCCGCACGCGCAAGCGGGTGGTGCAGAGATGTTGCAGGATGTATCCTGCCTACCTTAAGCCCTTACCTATTCACTCTCCTCCCGCTCCTCCCCGCCACCCTCCTCGCAACCATCCCCCTACTCCTCCCATCCCTCCCTCGCTCATCCCCCCCATCCGCCCCGCGAGGACACAGCTGCGATCGAGCGGATGCTGGCGGAGAACGCAAAGAAGCACATCGCAGAGGTCCGCCCCAAAGGGCTGAACCTAAAACTGGCCCAGCGGAGGGTTGAACAATGGGTTCGGCTCTCTACCCGCGCCTGGGAGCTCCCAGGGGTGGGCGGCGAGCTGAACCCATTCGGGAGGAGGAGGAGAAAGAGGAGGAGGAGGAGGAGGAGGAGGACCAGGAGGAGGAGGAGTGGGGAGGAGGACGGGGATAAGGAGGAGGCGGAT